AGGAGAAACCGGCACCGTGTCCCGGCTGCCTGTGACTCCCCATGGGACCTGCACCGGATGCCTGTGATCCCCCACAGCGGGACCCCCCTGGGACCTGCTTCAGCTGCCTGTGACCCACCCTGGGACCCCAACTGGGACCTCTACCAGCTTCCCGTGACCCTGCACTGGGACCTGTACCAGGAGCCCCACCGGGATCTACCCCAGCTCCCTATGACTCCCACTGGAACCCCGACCAGGACCCACACCCCAACCAGGCTGCCTGTGACCCACCCCAGGACCCCTGTCAGCAAGGGTCAGTCCTCAGCTCCTGTGCTTAGCCACACCAGACCTGGACAAGGATTGTGCCAAGGGGATGGAGCTGAGGGGTTGGTGCCAGGCGTCAGTGCTGGGGAGACAGTGCTGAGGGGACTCAGAGGACCTTCCCAGGGGCCGATGGGGCAAAGCAGAGCCAGACTGGGACACGGCAGGTTCCTGGCTTGGGAACACGCCAAAGGGCTGGAGGGGTCCAGCTGGAGCTGGATCTGGACAGAGCTGTATCCAGTTGCAGGGGCTTAAACATTGCCCCCATGGGAGGCAGCCCTGAGGAGACAGGGACTGTGAGGGCTCTGGCTGCTTCCACAGCCTTCCATGCTGTTCCAGGCTGGATGGCATTCCACAGAGATGTGGTTGGGATGGAAGAGCCAAGCCGCACTGGAGCAGCAGCACCAGGGCTCTTCCTGCTGTGGGGTGACCTCTTGGTGTGTGTCCCCAGCCCAGCTCCCTGCAGAGGAGCTGGGAGAGCACTGGGAAAACAGCTGGAAAATGGCCTGGAAGAGCTCAGCTCTGCTTCCGGAAGGGATCTGGAGACACTCCAGTGCTGGGGGGGGGACAGGGGGTGCAGCTTGTGCTTCTGCTTGCTTGGGATAACCACATGCTTTGGGACTCAGTATTCCAGGATGGGTGACCCCAGAGCCACGGGGGCTGCAGGGGCTTCCAGGGGCACGGGATGGTTGTTGGGGTTTGCTTGGTGTCTCTGCGTGTCCTCCCCAGTGTGAGAGAGCTGTGGAGCCACAGATACCGGGAGCTGCCGCTGCTTCAGCCCAAGGGAAATGGATCTTAAAGGATTTCTGAGAGTACTGTCACCAGGACAGTGACCCCACAACTGGGACAGCCCTCTCTGAGCCCCATCCCCGGGGTGGGGGGTATCCCCCAGCCCCCCATCGCCTCTCTCAGCTCTGCTCTGCAATTATATTTTTTGAGATTATTTAAAATAAAAGCTTCTGGCAGCTCTAGCAGCTCCGAGTCCTCCATCTGGGACCAGGAGGACATGGGGGGGGAGAAACAGGGGTATCCTGGAGCCCCAGTCCAGGGGACTGAGCTGCAGCAATGTACTGGAGGTGCTGCATGGATTCCCAAACTGCTGAGTCAGCATCTGGCTCAGGGGGCGCCTTAGACTCACCCCAGGGAACCCATGGGGGCAGAGCCCCCCAAGTGTGGCTGTGGGATAATTGGGGACCCCCCCAAAGAAGTGCAGCTAAAAAGGGGTCCTGGGTCAGCTCAGAGGGTCCTCATGGTTCTGGGGTGCCCCAGAAGCATCCTGGAGTGCCTGCTGCACCAGAACCCCTGGTATGGGCACAGGGGTGACCCTGGGGACCCCCAAGGATTGGCATGGGGGAGTGTGACCCTGGGATGGGCACAGGGGTGACTGTGGAGGTCCCTGGGATGAGCAGGGAGTGACCATGGGGGTCCCCAGATTGGGTGGGGTCTGGCAGGCAACAAGGCAGGGGCTGTGGGTTACCCTCCTGTTATTCCAGAGCAGGGACACACACAGAGATGAATTTGTGGGAATGTTCCGGCTCTGGAATGTTCCACACCAGGGACGAAGGGAAATAATTCACATTGTGTTAAAACTTCATTGGGGGAAAGGGGGGGCAGGGACAGGGGAGCCCATGTGCAAACTGTAAACTGGGGGGCAGAGCAGATCCTGACCCTTGGGAGAGATCCAAAGCCTTGGGAGTAGATCCCAATGCTCAGATCCCTCCACTTGAGAGGAAAGCCATCCCCTCAAGAGCAGATCCAAATGCTTAGGAGGGGGTCTGTCCCCTTGGGAGGAGAGCCATCTCCTTGGAAAGAGATCTTGATGCACAGGAGGAGATCCTGAGGTTCAGGAGATCCATCTGCTCGGGAGAAGATCCATCCCTTCAGAAGGGGATCCCAATGTTTAGGTGGGATCTAGCCCCTCTGGAGGAGCCCCATCTCCTTGGGAGGAGATCTGTCCCCAAACCTCAATCTGTCCCCCAAATCCAGGCCAGAGCTGCTCCTGCCCTGGGATCCAGAGGAGTCCCTGGAGCCATGAACGAGGGTGGGAGAGAGAGATTACATCCCTCTGGAGCCCCAAGTCCTGTGGGAGAAGGCTGTGTGTCCTGGGATCCTCCCAGGAGCAGCTCCATATCCTGATGTCCCTCCAAGGGCAGCTCCATATTCCATGTCCTCCCAGGAGCAGCTCTGTATCCTGG